AACCTATTTTCTAAAATGCGGAGTGATAACATTTTCTAATTAAAGTGAATAGGAGAAAAATTCGTTTTTGTTAATCAAGAAATTTAATTATTTTTATTTTTTATAGTGACTGATATCAATTTTCAAAATAAGAATTTTTTCAATAACTCATAAAGAAAGAAAATTTGAAACAAAAACAAACAACTTAAACACGCTAAATTGACGAAATAAAAGTAGCTTCAACGTGAGATGCAGGCGGTCTAACGAACCCTCTCGTTGATTCCCTTCTGCTCGGCAACTTTTTCTTCGAGAGTTTGCGCCTTGAGGATGGCGTTCTCCCTCTCCAGCCTCATCGCCTGCATCTTCTTCTTGATCGTCTCCATGGTGTTTGCCGCCAACATGATGTCCTTATTGATTATTTATGTATCTTCCAATATAAAATCAATTGTCAATCTCAACTCGAAAAATAAATTGCAGCAAATTAGATTTCAAATAAAACAACAAAAAATTCAAAAAAATTTAAACCGTTTAAAAGACTGAACGAATAATAAGCAGTAAGTCAGAAAGATTGTTGAATTAGAATGAGCTCCAACACGAGCGCACACACAAAGCTATCTATCGATGTTAACAACTGAGCGAGGAATGCTTCTTCCTATCATTTATGAAACTACTTCAACCTTATGTTTCGCTCCTCTTCTTCCTCACCCTCACCACCGCATTCATCCACTTTTGCTTCTGCAGCTGCAAGCAAACTATTTTGAGCGCATGCTCATTGAAATGAGAAAATGTGAAGAAAGAGAGAACGTGAAAAAAAGAGTGCAGAGTGTGGTAGAGATATGAAAAAAAGTGAAAGGCTGCTTGGTATGCACAGTTGGTTTGTAATAATAATTTGATATGATGAAATTTGCAGTAAAACGGTTTTCTAATTTTATTATTTATATATTTTTTAGTTGAAGTAAATTTTAATTTATCAATAAGAATCAATTTATAGATGTTCTTTTGCAAAAGAATTGTATATAACAATTTACATTACAAGTAGGTAAACATGGGTTGCGCACAACAACTAAAAAACAATTTTGCTTCTTTAAATAGAACAAATAATTAATACATGTACTCACTAAGCAAACGCATTTTTCAACTTTAACAATCCTTGCTGTGTTTATATATTATTCCTGAATGTTTGAAAACTATGCGAATATTAATAACATGTGTGATGAGATTTGAAATATTGAATTAAGCAGTTAATTCTTAAATGCTATTTTATAAAATAATAATGATAAGAAACTTGTTTGTATATTCATGTGTGGTGTGGGTGGGTGTACGTGCGTGAGTGTGTGTGTGTGTGTGTGTGTGTGTGTGTGTGTGTGTGTGTGTGTTAAAATTTGGTCAAATCAAGACGTGAAAGATAAAACTTATTACATGCCGGATGATGGCAACAAAACAAAAAAATTGTTGTTAGTTAATTACTTGCTTTATCAAATAGTAAATTAATTAATTATTTTATTCATTTGTTATTGAATTCATTATTTCATTTTCCATGCTTCTCATGCTTGAACACTCTTACTCCATTATTTATTTCGTTACCGTTCTATATTATTGCCTTGCATGTTGTAATAGTTTCTGCGTCTGTCAGATTCTGATTTTTCAAAGAATAATAATAATTAAAAAAATTTTTGGCTTAAAAATAGATTTGTTTCGGGTTGGCTAATGTATAAACCAGGGAGAACCGGAAAATTGCTATCGGAAGCCGACAGATTGTAAAAAAAAGTTGTGTATGAATGGTGCTTATCATTGACTCCTAAATATTATATTTAGAAGTCTATGAGTGAGTACATGCGTGCATTAATTTTTAAATTGTGCTAATATTTTTAGTACATAAAGTAACGCTTTTATTAAACTCTGCCATGTGAAAATTGAAAAATATCTGGTCAATTAATTATCACTTAACAAAACCATTTGTATCCTGAAATTTGCTCTCCTGCAAGTACTGCAGCCATCATTTTGAAGTCGAATGCCGAAAGTTACAACAGAGGCTGAATCAAACTTTAAAAAGGACAACATTTGATCTGCTCTACTGACGTGGAGGTCTGTCATAAACATGACTGACGCGAACATAGAGGCCAGGGTCCGACTTGTAGCGGGAAACATTTTTGGTCCACGAAATAATTTTTGAGCAAATATTATTATTCCACGTTTTTTAAATAAGTTTTTCATTTATTTGAATAAAAATATTGACAATAATAGCGATAAAAATTGAAAATGAGCAAAAAAATGCCATTCACATTTTCCACCAAAAAAAGTTTAAAATTAATCGAGTAACTTTCTCTCATTAATATTTCACTACTTTTCGAAATATTTTTTATATTGCATGTTGGCGCCTCTAGAGAGATGATTGCAAGTTATTGACAGCAGAATTTACACTCCGTAAGGTAACACGTAAGAGATTTTCAGTTCCTGTGCAATGCTGTTTTGACTGTTAATCCATCTTTTCATGGAATTGGAGAAACATCCTCGTAGATTTGCATTTAAAATGTGATTCAATGACTGCAATTTTGACAATGTAGTGATTTTTTTTAATAAGGTCCGGTTGTAGTAAATATTGTAATAAAATTTCCGTTATCCAAATCAATCTCTTAATTTCCAGCAATAACATTGTGCAACAAAAATCGTGACTAAAGCTATGCCTGCCTTTTCCATAAAATAAAATCAACTCAGCGGTAGTTTAACAACAGTCCTACATGAGATTTTCAATATGGGAACAGATTATGTAGGCAACGCTAAGTTGATTAAATAGCAACACACAAATTCGTGGAAGGATATAGGCCACGTTGACGTGAGAACCATAATTTTAAAAAGGAATGTTAAAGTTTGGAAATTTCACTAACTAGAATATGCAAATTTTGGCTAACATGGCCAAAATTGCAAAAATTAGGGAGAACTTCTTTTGCTTATTACCCCAATTTTTTGTCGATTTTCTTGTTACAACAGAATTTTTTGTGTAAAAATTGAGTTCTACTGACTTTTATTAAAAATACTCTTTCTAGCGGAACAAGTCTTCTTAAATCCACCACTGTTTGAATTTCGTTAAATTTCAATGTTCAGATTCACCATATCAATGAGGCTGAAAGTTTGCACTTTAGGAAAAACCTGTTTTGACTATCATTTTTCTCGGTTATCCTGTTTCTAGAGAATATGGGAATGCCAAAAACCTTACTTGGGAGTAACCTGGTTTGATAACAACTTTTGCAAATTAATTTTTTTTACTTTTATGTATTAAATTTTTTCTGTAATAACACGATTAATAAAATCCGTTGAATAGTTGAATAACCAAACAATAAAATTTTGCCCCAGATTATCCCCAAAAAGGCGACCACAAAAAGTCTTATCATTCCTACGATTCTTAAACGGTTGAGATTTTATCAACCGTGACTTCTTTATAAATATTCTCAACCTTCAGTTAATAATTATTTAGTCAGCATCAAAATAGACATTTCAATGTAAAAAAAAGATGTTTTAAAACTAATACCATTTCAAAAATAATTCAAATCGTAAATTTTTTTAAAGTTTCTTCTGGTCAATCAGTTTTATAATATTTTTGTGCTGAATTTGCTTCTTCCTGGATTGTACTTGACAGTAGCAATGAAACAGTGGGTCACGTGGCCCCCTTGTGAGCAGTGTTGTTATAGTTAATAAAAGTTGGCAAAACTCAGTTTCTAGAAAGAAAAGCAACGTTTTTAATTAAAAAAAGCACCAGAAATTGACCTGATAAGCAAAAATATGTCAGCAGCCTAACGTTTGCTACACAAGCGAACATTTGGTTAATTTTTTGGCCTCTACGTCAAATGTCAAAATATTTCAACTTTGTATAGAATCGCCACTGCGTTGCAAAAATCTTTGGCAGATTGTAAAAAATAGCTCTGAAGATTTACTTATATATATATATATATATATATATAAGAATTGAAATGTCGAATGAAAGAATCGATAGTGTACTGTAATTTATATATATATATATATATATATATATATATATATATATATATATATATTTACAATATTCTATAAATTCTACCGAATGTTTGGCGTCAAACATTCGGTAGAATTTATAGAATATTGTAAAAATTATGGTCTATTACCAACATATATATATATATATATATATATATATATATATATATATATATATATATATATATATATTCATTAGTTTGTTAAAGTTCTTTAGCAGATATGTTTACCATGCAATCGTTTTTTTCTGTTGACGAAATTAGCAACTCTTAACGAATTTAAAACTTGATGATGTGACCTCAAAATGAATGTTGCTATCCTTGCGTATTTACCTTCACACAGCTTGCTGATAATCGTTTTCAACGTTTTCTCCCAAAATGTTTCTTCTCCTTTAATGCAATTTTTTATTTTATTTTTAGTGCTTTGAATCAATCCATCCGACTAAATAAACTTGTTGAAAATTTTGTGATGATAAAAAAAGTCTATTGTGTATTGATATGAGCTTTTCTGTCAAAATGCATCAACCCACACTCATGCTTTGGTAATTTAATGTTTACCCTATCAGCAAATTAATTTAAATGTTTTAAAAAACATTTTTAATAATCAAAAACATTATAGAAAACTATAAAATTTTTGTAAACAGTTGGAATTACGCTACAACTTTTAATACAAAGTTTTAAAATGTGTATGTAAACATATTTATAAAATATAATGAAAGTTGATGTACAGATAAACATCTCTCAAAGCGTCAGTAGCTCAAATTGTATCGGCTGCCATTTTTGGTCCAAAACTTGGCCCGTCAAAACCTTTATTGTAGCACTGTAAAAAGTTAAGTTAAAAAAGTTTCAATTCGATATAGATAACGTAGTAAATCACATAATTCTATAAACAATAATAATAGATAAAATATTAATAAAAACAATAATTTTTTGATGCTTTGAATCGTCGTGATAAGTTAACTGAGCACTGACATATGTATGTAAATGATCGAAAAAGGAATGTCTCAATGATTTTTATACCAATCTCGCCAGAGCAGCCAAGCTTTTGACAACGGCCTTCACATTCCTAGCCTCGCAGAGGTCGATAGGTTGGAAGAGTTCATCTTCAGGCACCCCGTACGTCCGCATACTTTTCTGAACCGCCTGCAAATTCTCCATCCAAGTGAAGTTTCCTCCCTTCATGACAATTTTCTTGATGCCGCCGGGAACAATTTTGTTCATCAATCTGCAATTCGTGTAACGTGAAATGAATATCAAAGTGCAGTGAGATAGTTTGTGAGATACATCATACGAAGCCTACGCAGATGCAACATACACACACACGCACATACGCACGCACACACATTCAACTCTTTAATTAAAGCTTGATTTTTTTTCTATAATTATCTTTTGAAATATTAACATGAAATACAAGCCTTGTGAATTGCTTACGATTAAAAAACTCAAACGTAACTTTCAAAAATTATATGAGTAAATATAAAAATAAATTTGAAAAATGTTTTAATTCATAAGTTTCAATTTATAATTACTTAATTACTTGCAAAGAGTAATTCCATCCTTCAGGACTTTTTCAAAAGGTTCATTTTTGTTCAACTTCTCACCGACAACGGCTTCAATCCAATCCACCAATTGAGTTTTCAATTCTCCTTCGGGATCTTCTAAAAGCTTTAATAATTAAAAATTTTAGCAAATGTTTTCCATATTTATTTAAATTTCATAATTTGTTTATGTTTTAAAATATATCTATATTTGAAGATATTATAATTAATGTTTCAATCAAAATTTACTGCTACTTACATGAGACATTCCGAAACGTTGAAAGATGGTTACTTCTTTTGAGAACGCTATGCGGAGGTTTAAATATTTGAAATTTTCTTCACATTAACATAAAAAATGTTGATACAGCTTCTAGAACCAGGCTAGCCAATGATAAGCAAACTTTAAAAAACTTTATTTGAAATGTTTATTCATATTTACAATAATTTTTAAAAATACTTGCTCCTGAAATGAACAAATGTTATTTTCACGCAGTATATGTATTCTAATTAATATGTGACGTTAACTAAAAATTGGGCAATATGAATTATCATTGCACATTACAAACGCAACAAATACACGGCAGAAAGCAGCCTGCAGCAAGCCGTTGATAGAAACGTCAAACACGAAAGGAATGAAAACAGCCGCTGAGTAAGCCATAAATTATTCTCCTTGAAGGATGAAGAAATGCATTAATATTATTTTTATGATGTTTCAAACGGTAGGAAATTCGAATTGAGTTTAATCCGACGAAAATATGATAACGGTTATCAGTAGATCATTGAAAATGTTACATATAATGAAAAATATAACGAACACAATGAATCTAATTATTTAATATACGTTATTATTAATAATATATCGTTAGAAAATGGTAAAATAAAATTATGTTTTTTGGATGATGTGGTGCTGATGAAAATGATGGTGGTGGTGATGGTGATGACGACTCTGAAACTTTATATGCAGTTCATTAACGATTAAGGCTATTATCACCGCCACAGTCAAAGTTGTAAAAAACAGAATTGGTTTGACCAGGGACTTAGCACCTATGAAATGTTCGTTTTAGTTTGAAAATAAAATCTTTACTGATATGTAATAATTTACAATACTGAAAGATGAATTTAACTTCGATAACATTCTCTTAAACTGTTAATCTCAGTAAAACGTAGCACACAGTTTGTCTTACTTTTTATTCTGATGGTAACATTATATCTATTAGTCCTGGGTGCACCGTGAATGAAGTTAGTAGCTTTGCATATTAGGTCGACTCTTTCTTCTGTGAAATTAATAGGGATTGTTATTAAGGCAAAGATCCTCTCCTTGTTTGGAGTAATTTTGTGGCTGTACTGGTTGGAGATGATCAGGGCGGAATGAGAATCTAATTTGGCTTTGGGCAAGGGGCTTCCCCAGAAAGTGCAGCATATTTGAATGTTTTCACCTTCTTGCATGAATATCGACTTCTCGTCCACATCTATTTTTACGTGGGGAAAAGCTGAACGATAAATGTAAATAAGTAAAAAAATTTCGGTGACAAAGTATTTAAGAAAAATGCTAAAAAGATGAATAAATGAAACGGCAAATTTAATATAAAAAATTGTATAAAAAATACTTACACCGTGGGAAATTTTCTAAATTTATAAAAAGCGTTTGATACTTCTTCAAAAATTATGTGTATACGGGTTTCGTGGCACAATACTTAAGTGGTTCGAAAGCTACCTATTAAATCGACATCAATACGTTGAGATCCATGGAACCACTTCTTCCTGTCGCTCAGTGACTGGAGGTGTCTCGCAAGGTAGTATTCTGGGCCCTCTACTTGTTCTGTCATACATCAACGACCTCAGTAACTCGTCAATGTTTTTTGACTTCGTACTGTACGCAGACGACTCAAATATTTTCCAGAAGCGGACACAGATGTGAGTCTCTTATCGAAGACAATAAACTAACAATAAACAAAACTATATCTCAGTTGATGATATTCGGTCCTGTCCAATACCTAAACTATAAGGAGCCGTACAATATTACAATTGACAACGTAAGTTTAAGTGAACTAAAGTTTGCAAATTCCTGGGAATGTACCTAGACCAGAAATTAACATTTGTACCTCACATAAAAAATGTTGCTTCAAAGTTCGCTAGAGGCCTGGGCTTAATCAACAAATACAAATTTTTCTTCCCACTAAAAGTCGTAAGTTGCTCGTCAATGCATTATGTCTGCCATAAGTAAAACTATTGTAATTTAGTTTGGACTTAAACGTATAAATCCAACACTAAAGCAATTTTTCAACTCATGAAAAGGGCAGTAAAAATGCTCTCAGACAGCTACCTTCACTCAACAAATTCTAGAAATGTTTCATCACAATCAAATCTCGTCTTCTCTTTCACGCAACAACATGCTTACCTTATAGAGCCCCAAGCGGATAACCGCGGATAAAAACTCTCAAAACTCTGCGGATTTGACGGTTTGATTTATTAATTTTTTAAAACTTTTTCTGTATTCTACGTTAAAGCCTTAATTATCAATATTTTAATAAATAACAGTCTTAATAGCAATTCACTTTCAAATCAAACATATTTATGCATTAATCGTCCGAATCTTCCTCTCTTTTTCACTTTTAAATTTCGATTGCGTTGAGGTTCTAAAGTAATGTTTTGCTATGAAAAAAACAAATAAGCAGATAAACAATTTATTGAAATATTTAACAAAAATACCAAAATCTTTATGTTGTAATGAATCGAAAACTTTGTTGACACAGAGTTGGAAGTCGGTACATATGAGTCTGAGAGTCCTGTGAACATTAACAATGAATTGGAGATAAAGGGCAATGAGAAATATATTTCGTCCTTATCTATTGCAAAAGATAATTTTTTTGATGCAACATGTTCAAAAACAAAAAAAGACAGCTGATTACGTCGGCGCAAAATTAAACAACCATGAAAAATTGAAGCAAGAGACTTGCTTTGGAAACCAACAAATAGTTACAAAAAATTTATTTGCGATGATAAAGGAAAATTGACAAGACGCTTTCATTATAAGGTTACAAAAGTTTATTCTTGCTTATTCAGAAAAAGGTAAAAGCGTTTATTGTTCAACGTGTGTAATATTTTTAATAGACAAAATGGTTGGTAAAGGTAAACATGAAATAATTGGAACTTTTGAACCAAACACAAATTTGAAAAAGGCAGTTCTACCAGTATCAACGTCAACAGTTGAAAGAAATTTTTCAATACTGAAAAGAACTAAAAATTATTTGAGAAATAGCTCAAATGAGGAGCTATTTGGAGTCTTTTAGACAACATGAATCAACAGTATATCATCAAAATGCTGTTTTAGCAAAAAGTAATATTGAAATCATTGCTTCTAATAGAATGGATAGTATTGACAAACAAATAGGTACTCAAAAAAAGAAAAAAGCAATAGATAATAGAGAGAAACTTAAACCTATAATAGAATCTATACGTTTTTGTTGTCAGCAAGGCTTTGCATTAAGAGGCAATAATGAAGTAGGACGGATGAATTTAATAACTCCAAAAGAAGATTATGGTAAATTTCGAAGCTTGTTAAGATTTAGAGCCAATGGAGGAGATGTAGTTTTACAAATTCATTTACTACAATCTGCAAAAACGCCATCCTACCAGTCCTGAAATACAGAATGAAATAATAAATTCATTTGGCTATCTCATACAGAAAAAAATTATCGAAAGAGTTTAGCAAAAACAATTTTTTTCAGTTTTAGCTGATGAAACAACTGATATTTCACAAATTGAACACTTTTCCCTATGTATAAGATATGTGAGTAATGATGACAATGGTATACCAATTTTAAGAAGATTTTTATCATTTGTTCTAGTATATGATGTTTCTGGCCAAAGCCTTGCAACGGTAATTGTTGCTAAGCTTAGTGAATTTTGTCTTCAAATGGAACATTTTAGAGGACAAAAATATGATAGAGTATCTACCATGAGGGGTGAATTTCGAGGAGTTTAATCTGTTATAACAAAACAATTTTCGAAAGCTTTTTATACACATTGTTTATCTTACTGTTTAAACCTTTGCTTAACTGATTTTTCTAAAATTCGAGAAATTTGGAACGCTGTGGGAATTATTGCAGAAGTGTGCAATTTTTTCGGTTAAGCCCAAAGCGCACAAAAATATTGGAAGATAGAATAAAAGAATTAAATCCTTCAATCAAAAAACAAACGAATCAAACAAATATGTAAAAGAAACTAGATGGTGTGTGAGACATGAAGCTCTGATTCTTTTTAAAGAAATTTGTGTACCTATTGTGGCCTCTTTAGAAAAAATTAATGAAACATTTAATGATCAATCTCAAAAGGCTAATTTATTGTCAAATACAATAGGTAAAAGTAATTTTATTATAGCAGTTTGTGTTTTAAGTAAATTTCTTGGACTTATCTACAATTTGTCGAAGTTATTGCAGACTGTGAATCTGGATATCAAAACTACAATGCAGGCGGTAAAGGATGTAACTCAAGTACTTCTTAACTGCTGCAAAGAAAATGGAGATGAAGAACTCAAGACTATATATACTCAAGCCAAAGAACTGATGAATTAAATATAGAAATGGTTATTCCAAGAACCACAAAATTTAGTAAAAATCGATGTAATTTGACTTCACAGGATTCCGAAAGTTATTTTTGAATATCCATTTTCAATTCTTTATTGTATGATTTAATGGCTTCACTAAAAAATAGATTCCTTCAACACGACACTTTAATTACTTCTTTACAATTTATTTTACCTGAAAGGTGTGATGTACTCTATAATTAGATTGAAGAATGTCTCGAATTTTATAAAGATGACTTTCCAGAACCTTTTAAAAACATATTAAACATTGTGGACACAAAAATGGAAAATGAGAATAAAAAATAGACCAAAAACAGCCATTGAAGCATTGGCAGAATGCAATTCCAACCTATTTCCAAATATTCAGGCACTGTTATCAATTATGGCAGTTCTAACAGTATCAACGTCAACAGTTGAAAAAAAGTTTTTCAACACTGAAAAGAACTAAAAATTATTTAAGAAATAGCTCTAATGAGGAGCGACTCACTTCATTGGCACTACTATCTTTTCATCGGGATATA